GCGTTGTAAGCTTGTTATTGAAAGTAATGGAGAGCGAATTCCGTACTAAAATTTATTAATAAAATCTATCCCTTTTTATCTTTCAAACAAGTTATTATTTGCTACAGTGGTTATTGTGTAATTGTCTTTTTTCCAATTCCGGTCTTTTTTGAGACAGACTGTATGTACATTGTTTACAGACTGTTCCAGAATTTCGGTAGCGCTCATGGTGTATGGAAAAATCAACTGATAGAGAATAGTCATGAATAAGTAAAATCAATACAGACGCGTTCAGTAATTAGAAAAATCTTTTATTACAAAGAAAAACTACGCTATCCAACCAGTTTGCCAATCAGCCTATCATCTTTCTACAACCCAGTCACTTTCTGTCTCTCGATCCACCTCCTTTTCGAACCACCCAATTTTCTCCAAGACCTTCCCAGCGCTAATGCTGGCCAGACCGCCGATTGCTTTGAAATAATTTACAATCGGTTGAGAATAGGGAACGACCAAGTTCAGAAGATCTTCGTTAGAAATAAAGTCTTCCATTTTGGATATAATCCATCTACCGTCTTTGTTAACGCGAAAGTCAGCATGGCTCATTGTTCTATTGGATGTTTGAAAGATAACAATTTGAAAAGACCAATGTTTGTAAACGAATGGTGGGAAGATGGTGTTCGTTTAAATAGTCATAGTGTAACGTAATCAATGACTCCGATTGTAAGAAGACTAACCTGACAGTAACGGTCAAATACGGAAAGAGCAAAGGATGCAATTTTGTCGTGTAATGGATAAACCCTATCTTCTTGTGTGGATCGAACACTTAATAAAGCAAGATTGTTATTAACCGATGATGGTTACTGTTAATATCCTTCCAGATCAGGCCTAAAGTCCTTGATACTTACTAACTTCATGTACTTCCACCTGATGGGGGCCCGTCAACACTATTGACTTGTAATAGTTAATAAAAGTAAAATCGTGATTTACGACAGCGTTACTCTGCTATCGTACCTTGGCAGTATTTATATAGCGAAAAAAGCTTATTGCGTGAATCTGGACTGCTCTGAATAATGACAAGGGGATGTCTGAATTCCACTTCCGACGTGACTATTAAGATGGAAAATGCAAGTGTAAGCAAGAGGTACCTGTTGTAAATCTTTACATGTAATACGTTTTACATACAAAATTCCTCTAGCTGCTCTTCCGAGTCCGTAGTCAAAAGTCTCTTTATTAACTGTTATCAAGTATAGTGATTAGCTGTAATGGTTCACCAGTATTGCTGGTAACAAGAAAGCATACATACGGTCGGCAGTTCTTGTGTTGGAGCTTCCATTCTATTAGCTTTAAAATATCTTATCCGAAATGTTTGTATGAATAACGCCTTTCTTATTATTTATGCTCTGCCATCGAGCAAACCGACCCCTTCCGTCTGACGGAATAATCGTGAGATATACGGGAAGGGCGATATCATCTGGAATTAGTCTGGGTAAAGCAAGTTACCATTTATGTCTTAACTCGATTTCCAATTCTCACGTGATTGATGTGTATGCGATTATGTTGCTGTTTGGATTTCGATTACTTAAAAGAACCAAATATAAGTTATCAGACAACAGTTTTTATTAAGATTTATAGTCAACAAATCGTGGTTAGCAGTAATACATTTGCGCAACATACCTAAGATGTGAACAGTGCGCCAAATGGCCAAACAATTAGTCTAGAACAACAACTAATCAAATCCAAAATCGAAGAAGTGTACTATTTATAATTTTATTTTGTATTACTCGTTTTATATTTCGCTCAATAGCATAATTATAACTAATCTTAGAATGCTGAGAATTTTTTTGTTAGTCGAGCTTTATTGTTATCATCAGAATCTACAAAATATCTTTTCGGGAACAAGCATTACAGCATTGAATCATTTAAATACTAGCGGAGAAAGTCGGATCACATTAATCGTGGGTTCTCGAGTACTAAAAGAATGGGAAAAGTGTAGAAACAACATTAATAATGTCCGCCAACCGAGAACTGTGATTTTGTTTTGTTTGTTTGTTTGCTGTTTTCAAAACTTTTGACTAAATAATTCTAATGATAAGTGCACTTTCCTATCGTTAGAGGGTGCGCTTACGTCTAAAATTGCAAGTTACGGAAATATCGTTTGGTTATATCACGAATGGTTTATCTCTGTGGGTCCGGTTCATTTGCCCGACAAAAAACTACCCAAAAAGGATAACTTTGAAATATTGCTGGTTTTGTCGGGCAAGTAAACGACTCCCATCTCTGTTCTTGCAGACTAATGAGTGCATGAAATTTCACAGATAGACATTAACCGACAGTCTAGCATGAAAGATATGGGGAAAAGAGAACGGTCGAATGAAATTCATGGTAGAGTGATTGTCAAATATTATGAGTATTTTGATAATTTATCAACTAAATTACAGTAATATGACGAAAATCAAGTTTACTATAGTCTGGAAACTTTTTACTACAACTGTAAATTGATACGATTGCAGTCACTTTACCAATCATTCGACGTAACAATTGTTTCATTGTATTAAGATTAGATTTGTGTTTCTTTAAAGTTTGCTCTCGTTATTTCTTTTCATAAAAGATTGTCTTGAATGTTTTGCCGAACAGCGTATTGGTAAATATGTGATCGCAATTAAACAACATTGTGTTCTAATAATACTATTATGTGACTAACGTATATTATTCTATTCTATTTTAGGTTAATATTTGCACACGAATATATTTAGAGCATTTAGAATTGTTACATCATATAACAAACCAAATGCACTATGTACAGTCCATGATGTGTCTGTTTCACTTGTGAGGTTTCAACTCCGAATTTGTTACATATTGTGTTACAACAATCGCCTATGTTGTAATAATAGAAAGTTCAAATCGTCCGGTCGAAACGCAAATCCAAACAAAAAAGCCCCAAGAACAAATGATAAAACTTCGTCTCAGTGTCATGAAATGTATAGAGTAACAAAAACGGAATTATATAATATTAATACCCATTGGATATTTGTTCATTTGACCCCCTGAACTTTGTTTAGAATGCAGTAATTTACCAAGGTTTACGAAATGGTTTATGCCTAACATGGACGTTTAATAGCGTTAAGTAACATTCTCAATTTGGATTGCAAGACAGTCTAACAATGGTGCCAAGACTTTGCTAAGCTTGCAATGGAAATAGCAATTTAGGGGACTAAAATCACATGAATTGCCCAGCTAGAATTTTCATTGGAACGCCCGTAACAGTAAGAATATAATCATATCGATTGCCATTATTGTAAGTGATCTATTTTACAATCGCACCTTTATACCCGACCCAATCAAAACTTTCCAACCTTTCGATGGGATGGTAAAGCGATCTCGTGCCTCGTTTCTACTTGACCATCTCCAATCGCACGTTGTGCTACGCAAGAAAGACTAAAATTCCCAATATTTCTCAATTAAACACAATTTTGATTCTTCCATCTTTTCTTCCCCCCAGCCACTACTCCACCTCTCATCTCTCTACCACCCCCGGGTCTCGTTTACAACCAACTACGCTGCATATACATTAAACCCACAATGCTACGAAAATTGCGGCCAACTCTTCGAAAGAAGAAGAAAGCGGTCGAAATGTACGTTTACACTCCCCTCGTTGGAAAGAATGGATATGTCATGGAATATCGTCACCCACAATACACCATGACATTCCACTATAAATATAAGGAGAATTCTGATGGAACCCTGACAAAAATAGGCACCACAATATCTCTTGGGCAAGTGAATGACGAAAAAGATTACATATTTTATCAGACAGTAGCCGATAAAGAACAAATAGCTCTCGAACATAAATGGATGTCTCAACTCAGAACCGCAGGTAGTATATGTTTGACGGCCGATATTAGGAATGACTGGAGTGACATAATGCAACATAACAACAAGCTACCGATTACCGATAACATCCAACGACGGCGGCTTCGCGAGGTGCTTGGTAATCTTGCTTATCAACAGACTGACATATGTAAAGATTCACTGTTGGCAGACGCTTCTCCGTCGAGTTCTTACTCTTATTCAAATAACAGCTTATTAAATGTTAACATTCCCCAGAGGAACTCAAAGACAGCAAAGAAAGAGAATAAGCCTACGAAACATGTTCATTTGGAGCATCCCACGTTTAGTAAGACAGCGCCTGTTGTACATGTCTATGACCCTGAAGAAAGTCTTGTTTATAAAGAATGTCAATGCGACTACTGCCGTTATGCAGACTACGACGTATAAATTATTCCCTAGACAATCTATATAATGGGTAAGACTAAGCGGATCTTTTCAAAGCGTGTCGTTCTGTTGACCATTCGATCAGATGGAAAAATTCAAGTGGGTAATTTAATAGTATAAAGCATTCGCCTATAAAGATATTTACTCGTATAGGTCTCCGCATTTCATTGTAGTTAATTTCTCTCATTTCCCTTTTTAGCTTTTGTTGTATTTACTTCTCCTTCTGACTTGATCTATTTGGAGAGATATCAATCAGTTTTCCTTTCTTTTCTTTTCTTGGTGATGCGGTTGCATTCAAAGCACTCATTTATTGTAAAAAAGTTTCAGAGACTATTAAATTGAATGTGCTGTCTCTGTGATGGCCAATGTATAATATTGAAATATATACGTATATTTTGTGCGTCTGCTATGTGTATGCGATGAGAATATGGCGAAAATTTTGCATCCAACATAAATACGATGCTAGACAACTACGCTTTGCTACAAAAATTCTATAAAGTCCCCATATCCGAATACCTGCAACGAGAACTCACAAATTAGAAGAATTTCCACGAATACACAACAACCAAAGAGGAATCAGTCTTAGTTATACACTCGCAGGGGACGAAAAACTACGATGAACCGAGTATGAAATGATAGAGTTGATGCTAGGATTACTAGCGAGACTGAACTTGGAAACGAATCAGTTGCAACAAATTATGAAGGGTTGGCTGCCCAATGTAATTTAGAGAAGTTCTCTAAATTCGAACGTGTCTCATCGAAAGCTCGAACAAACGTTGAAATTATATTTTGTCTACAATATGATCTATTGTTCGAATTCGACACGGCTGTAAACACTACGATCGAATAGTAGTACAGACGTGCCAACGGAATAGCTAAATTGGGACGATTTCGAACTGGACGTTTATTAATAACAGTAATTCATTAACGCTCTAATAAAGTGTAGTGACAATACATATTTCTGGATCGTATCGATAGATCCGAAAATCGTTAATCCCTATGTTGGTAAGACGTGTCATCAATTCATTCTGGCATTCACACACGGATTCCTTGATAAACGCGTTGTAAATGATACGCAATGATCCCGACCTATTACTATAGACTGTTAGTCTAATCCTTTGACAAGAAATAGTGATAATATTCGAGACTAATAATTGATCGCTCTTTGCTATAAAAAAGCTCATGGCTTCGTTCAAATATACTGTAATTGCTTTAATTGAAATTTACTTTTAAAGCAATACAAAGTCTCAATAAACAATTTCCACTCCGCCCTCCCTTACATCAATTTCCTATTTTGTTACTACAACTCCATATCCAGATGGGGGCCGAGTTCTAACGCTAATACTAATATTAGTACGGTTTATATTAGCACCAATAATATTATGTCAGACTGTCGATTAAAGACACACAAGCATGACATAGTGACGTAAATGTTTTATTTTAATAATGGATATTGACCATTTAAATCTTAGAATCGCTGTTCCGCAGTAATATTTTTAACTATATAAACGACCAATATTCGAAAGGGATTCCACCTTTCTCTCCCGAACGATTTGGTACAAGACACCAGCTAGAACAAAGATAATACTAGAAAATGTTGAAAATATGGCAGGCCGTGAGAAATTGCAGAGATTCGAGGTAGGTATTTTGGCGACGGTATATCTTTCACGGAAAAAAGAAACGTAGCGTATGAACGAAAACTGGTGTTGTGAGCGATCATGAAAATAAGCAAAAACGAGTTGTTTTTATAATGGTTTCTTACATGTGAATAAATACGTGGTTTAAGACGTGACTTTTTTTGTTTTCAGAGGTCGACAGATGTCCAAGCTGTTTTTAGAACTTCCTGATCAGGAAGATTATCCCGATTATTACGAAGAGGTAAGTGATGCCGAGCTGGTCTGATTGATCACTGTTTGCAACCCGCGGCTTTTTTTTTACTCATCATATTCTCATCGTCCCGCACATTCGCCACACATTCGTCACACATTCACCACATATTTACCACACATTCACGGACACATTCAATCAAAACAAATCACAGATTACTAGACCCATCGCCTTAGACATTATTAAAGTACGTGACATTTATGCTGTTTGACTGTTTTATTATTGTAAACCATTCTACAGATCGTGCAAACATTGAATTTAATAGGAAAAAATCGAAACCGGAAAATACAATGACATTCTTGCTTTAGCGGCCGACCTTAATTTGATGTTTGAAAATGCGAAGCAATACAATGCGGAAGGATCGCAGATTTATAATGACGCCGTTTTTTTACAAGTACGTCACAATATAACATTAAACGTCAATAATCGTTGCAATGTAGATTCGCGGTAAATATTGATTTAATCTGACAATATTGGTAGAACTTGTCGGCAAAGTTGATTGCCGCCGAGCATCCGCAGAGAGGACAAAGTGATTTCGAGATCAATGATGCTGATTACGTCGACTTGACCGAAGTAGAGCATAATGGAGAGATATATCGTGTCGGTACGTTGTTAGACTAATTTAACTTAATCTTTACTGAATAGTAGCAAAAGTTGATTAAAATATGAACGTGAATTTTAAATTTGTAGGTGACTATGTGCATATTCGCAATGAGGATGGCTTGACAAAACCAAATGTGGCACATATCTTTCGACTATGGAAAAATCAAAAGTAACTTATAAACGTCCCTATTTATATCTTTTTTGCGTGTTTGATTGTTCCTTAACATTAAATTATTCTAGCAGCGAAGTAGGCGTTAACGTCTGTTGGTACTACCATCCAGAACAAACAGTCCACCAAGCTACCCGTTCCTTTTACGAAAACGAAATTTTCAAAACTAATGCTTATAATGAATATCTTATTTCCGAAGTAATTGAGAAAGTCTTTGTCATTCCTGTTCGTGAAGCAATGAAAGGTCGTCCAAAAAATAGCGTGGGTAAAACTGTCTACGTGTGTGAATCGCGCTACAACGAGGCTGGTAAAAATTTCTCCAAAATTAAAAACTGGAGCAGTACCTATGCTCCAGGATTTGCTGGACGCGTGGAAATGGAATACTATCCCCAAATGATTAGTCTTAAACGGGTCAAGAGTCCGCTTGCTGGAGCATTCGAAATGATAAAGACGAAACCCAAACAGGAGGAATCTTCCCCGCAGTTAGCCTCGGTTAGTCATCAACAGGTGTCACAACAAAGTAGAACAGCCTCGCCTTTAACAAGTCAAGTCTCTTTACAATCAGTTGATAATAGTAATACGACTATGCTTTCGCAATATCAATCATCGGCAATACAAGCACAGTCGTCGATATCCTCACGAACCGAAAGTGTCTCTTCGCAAATACCGCATTACGATGGATATAACAATAATAATAACATTTCGACTCCAGAGTATAGAGTAAAAGGGTCTAGTAATGCTCCGCAATATACAACGCAACATACGACACAACATACGACACAACATACGCCACAACATGCGCCGCAACATACGCCGCAACATACACCACAACATACACCGCAACATACGGTTCAGCATAGCATGCAAACACAAACGAGTGGACATTCAAGTCAAACAACAAGGGCAATGTCTTTGTCGGCAGAGACTGGTATGTAGTAAGCAGGATTTGCAAGTTTTCAATTGCGACAAATATTACTAAAGCAACAATTCTACTTTATGCTATAAAAAGCGAATCAATTTGCCTGCAACGCTCAAGGTGAAATTCTCTGGTTCGCTACGCCACCAGTTGATGTGACACCCCTATCGCGACCGCAGCACTCGAAGCTATATATGGAGAAACGGGGAGAGCTCCTAGCCGTAAGTATATGTAATGACCGTCTGGAAAGAGCGAAGCAAGAGAATCGTACGCTTGGATGGTCAAAGTGACTATTCCTTCGTTGACAATAATCACTGCTGCTGTAAATCCTAATTAACATTTTGTATATGAAACTGGCACAGGAAAGAGAAAACATCAATCGATGTGGCGGCCGACCAGATGTGGCCACAGGCATGCCGATGGTTATGCCAACGTCCGCGCCATCAAAAGTTTCAACCTCCTGTACTGCGCCTGATAATCCAACCATACCGTTTGGGGAAGCGGAGGCCACGGTTGCTCAATGTCTTTTATGTGCGTATTTAGTCTAATATGAAAATATTAATCAAGTGTGGTAGATCTCTATACCCGTAGCGTTCAATTTCTCCTAAAGACATCATATTTCTCCATGACAAATTTACTAATTGTTTCAACTGTCTACCATTCTTCTCATTCAGTTTTAGCAAATGCATGGAAAACAGAAGCGCTAGACCTCGCAAACAACATAAAACGATGATTTCTCTCTTCAACTTCATTGTACATCCGTTGTATATATAAAAGTATGTATTCTTATGTCAACCTCCAATTTTGTATATATTATAGGTAGGTGTCTTGGAATTAATGAAAAAATTACGCGATTTTCGGTGATCAATACATTTACCGAATAGAGACGTATTCATAAGGTTTAGCCTCTAATGCCTCAGTAAAATACCAGATTTTCAGAAAACATAATAAACTGAATCGTGAGTATTGTTTGTGTATAGCAAGGAGGAAAGTCCAAGTTTGATGATAAAACTGTTTGCTATGACATTGAGCGAGCGTTGAATCTATATTGTCTCGATAGCCTTGTGTCGATCGAGAGTTTGATAGCGAAGGCCTTTACGTACTAAAATGAAAGTCTGCAGAAGCTATCAGACGCACACATGCAACTCATCAACAGGTATCACATGTAGAGTGGACTTGTTAGAGATAGAAGCATTGGACCGAAAGTGGTAAATATGGGGAATCAACAGCATATATTAGTTCTGTATTTCTCCACTTGTTTCCTTGCTATTGTACTGCTTTGATAAACGTGTAGCAAGAATAGCGGTATGACACAAACAATTTCAGCCTCAATTAAGCTGCTGATTTGTTTCTGAAATCTGTCAGAAATACATGTTAAAAGTATTCCGGTCGTGTGTTATAGGCCGTCCGGTATTGACAACTCCCGGTTCTATTTTATCCCTAAAAATGACACATTTCAGATAGTCTTATTCTCAACTGTTTTATGGATGTTGTCTTACTGAAATCAATATTGCATAATTACACATTACACTTTTCAACCTATTCCCGACCGCAGTCTGTTTCAAATAATTTCACATGACTATATTACGCGTAACTTGATCAAAAATAAACAATTCGCGTCCTGTAAATTTTCAAATAAACTTTGTTTACAGTGCTACAAATTTCAGTGCTTTATAAAACCTGAAGCTTTTTTCTTTGCCCGTAGTTAGCAATTAAAATGTCAAGTTCTAACAAAGAAAATCTACGGCAAACCTTATTACATTTGTGGAATAACGGTATTCGTACCGGAAAAAAATTACATAAGTTAACGAACAAAATTACTGCGGATGTTTTTAGAAAAGTAGGTCAATACATACGCAGCTTTCAGACAGAAAATTAGGCAGAAATGTGTCGTTTTGAATTAAAAAATACTAACGTAATCTCTATATATGTAACATGTCAGCCAAGCACGTTTTTCAAAATTAGGCAGAAATGCGTCGCTTCGAATTAAAAAATACTAATGTAATCTTAATCGATGTAACATCTCAGCCACGCACTCCAAAATTAGGCGGAAATGTGTCGTTTAGAATTAAAAAATACCAATTTAATCTCAATATATGCAATATGTAGCCTGGCACGTTTTCAAAATTTAGGCGGAACTGTGATGTTTAATATTAAAAATACCAACGTAATCTCTATATGTGTAACACGCCAGCCGGGCACGTTTTCAAAATTTAGGCGGAAATGTGTTGTTTTAAAATTAGAAAGTACTGGCATACTGTATCTCAGCCAGGCATGTTTTCAAATTAGGCGAAAATGCGTCGTTTTGAATTAAAAATGGGGTATGCAACAACAAAGTGAACATTTATAAATTATGACGAACCAAGAAAGAGACAAAAATAGAAAAAACGTAAGGAAAATAAATTTAACGTAAAAGCTTCCCAGGACTGGATAGCTCATGCGATTACTACTTGGGCCCACAGTCGGACAGGTGACACATGCGATTACTTGAGCCCCTGCCTAGGACAAGACTCACAAACGGCCGTGGGTCTTGCTCCCACCGCCCGAGGAGCGGTCTTCAACCTCAGAGAGCACTTTAGTAAAATTTCTGTTAAACTTAACTGTGCGCTGCTTGCAGATATTCTTGAGGAGGTCCCGCACACGACGATTTATGCGTTCCTGTTTCAGTGCTTCTTCTTGCGTATCTAAATAACAAAGATAGTCTGGCCAACCCAAATCCGGAGCGCCTCAGAAGAAGTCTTCCACCGTTTCAATGTACGTTATTTTCTGTAAGATAGACGCCCAAGCTCCAGCAACGATAATTTGCCACCTGGCCATTGACATAGATCCGCAAGAACAGCGACACGTTCCTTCAGTGGGGACCTACCTGAATCTCCATGTTCGTCAAATAAGTCGCTTTGTCCAAACACAAGTATTTGAAAACGCGTATTAATATTATATAATAATAAATTTTATGAAGCACGTGACATTGATGATTTGTCAAAAACGGTATTGCGATACAGTCTACCCACCCTCCATATTTGCACGCCGGAAGTCTTATAATCGGGAGTTAGTAATATATGCACACTCTATATTCTGCATTGCACCTTTTTTTTTTCACTTTTCGCTATATGAAAATCGCAAAAGTTTCGTTTTTGATACACCAGGAGTTCCGTTTTTGATAAATCTGCAAGCACCCCCAAATTTTGGTTTCTAGGTAATTTATTCTTTGTCATATGATCACGATTTTTGAATTTTTATTATTTTACGGAAATGGCAACATTGGACTAAAGACTTCCTCAGCAATGAGAAGCTCTTACCAATGTTTTACTTGGACTTCGAGTTTGTATTTTTCATTACTGATAGAGTTACGAGTCTGTATGTTTCTACCAAGTACCAACGTTCATTTCTTTCATTTAATGTACTTAATGATAAAGTTTTAAGCATTACAAGTGCACGTAGAGAACGTACATCAATGTCCACCCTCATCACCACCACTCGAAACTTCCGAAACTCCTACGATTAAACGGGTGAAAGAAGATATTTTCTCCGTATTTGATGATCTATATTAACTTAGTCATAATTTGCATAAAGTTTATATTCTATTAGATTATGTTACCAAAAAACAAAGTCAACTTTTTTCGAGGAAGTTAGCAATGGGCAAAAAGTAAATTCTGCTGAAAAGTGTGGGGGAAAGTAAACCAAATAAATAATTGAATAGCTTAGGTAAATCTGTGCATAATATATTTTCGCTATCGTTTTTATTAATTATTTTTATTTATTTATTTTGTCGATAATAATGAATCTCCCGCTTCGTTCTTTGATTTCTTTTCCGAGAAAATTCGTGTAAAACTTTCTTCCCCAAAAATCTTGAGTCGCTAAATAGACGGCAGTCAATATTGAAAATTGACTTTCTGATCTCATATAAACTTAATATGGTATCCAAAGGTTAGACTTAGCGACCCTTTGTTTACATCAATGAATCATCTTTAGAATTAATATTAGGGATAACAAAAAGAGGTGTGCTTATTGAGCTTGAAAAGACTCGCAGAGATAACCCACTTCTGTCCTCGGTACTCTATATTCGCCTCTAAGCAAGCAGTATAGCATAAAATTTCTGATAGCCTAGATAGGTTTACAACAGCTAAGATATTGTATAATTCTTGGCTTCCCAAATTTCATACAAAGAAGAGTTAGTTAACAGGATTTGAGTCTAGCTCGATTTTGATCCTACAAGTACTCGTATTGCTAGAAGGTTCGGGAATATATCTGGAAACTTTTCTGAGTATGTCAATCTATTTGCAAGTACCTGTTGTATATTCCTGCGCGCAATGCGATATAAACGTAACAATAATTATCATCAGAACAATCGCTCACAACTAATACTATTGCGTTAATTTCCAATGTAATGCTCCGGGAGTATCCCGAGATTTTAAATCCTTTAGCAACGCTGGAAGTGTTGGTGATAGTGGGTGTTCTTCCTAAACGTTTGTAGGTTGTGGAGATGTTGAAGAGGTAGATCCACACACCATCCGTCAGTCTATGGGATGAATTCGCGTTCGGTGAGAGCTTTCACCTGTCATAGCGGAAGACTGACTTATTGGTGTATCTTTTGGTGCAAGTCAAATCATTTGTATTCGATTCCGAACTACTCTATATCTAGATTGGTTTGTATTTGTTTTGTTAGCGGTCGAGACGATGTTACCCGAATGCTTGAGCTTGTTAATTCGAATGAAGGAGCAATCATCGGGGCATTGACGTCATCTTCATTCTCTCGCGTGTTTAGGTAATCCCAAATCGACCTATAAAGTAACGTAAGTGATTATCTTATTGGCAAAGCAATGAAGCAATGCACTATAAAAGCAATTAAATCTCATTACTAAAAAACTTGCAGACTGAATCGAGATTCTCGTCCACAATATATCACTAGCAAACGTCACCGCGAATAATTCCCAATCCAGTCTTATAGTCAATCCCCGTTGCCCTTTTCTGAGCCTTTGTTGTATCTTGCTGACCGCAGGCAACATTCCACCAAGTGCTTATGACATTGAAATCAAGAATGGCATTCAAGCGAGAAGCGCACGACAAACGGGAGCTGCTGTTGTCAGTGTTTTTATGTGTTTGGCTCTGAATTTTCCGTTACAGTGTCGCGAGTCTGATAAACTGGATTCGTGAGTGGCATCAACATCTATAGATCGTTTAGGTTTGTATAAAAAATTAGTATTGGTTAAAAGTATCAGTCTTACCATTAATTTTACTATCACAATGTGTTGAGAAAAATTGGCGTTGAAAATGTATATCTCAGCAATTACGAATTCAATTAGACTAATTTAGAAGTTTACCTAATAATAAATTTTCAATCTGAGATTCTATCAGTCATAATAAACTCGTTAGTAGTGGCTGTTCAACATTATCAGTAGTGATTGCCATTGCAAACGCCAGCTCTTACCATGCAAGCAGTAGAGGCTGGACTTGAAATATCTGAATATTCTCACATACAAACAAAAGAGAACCATCCATAATAATAACAATAACATGTATAAGCTGGGAATTTTCCCATTATAATTAGTTATTTATTTGTGTAACTCGGTTCTCTGGGGAATATTTGATATCTCATGTGTTACTTTAATTGTTTGATTTGGACTTCGAACTTCGCGTTAGCAAAAGAAAAAAGTACTTGTAAATAAATAAAATTGGATATCTTACCTACAGTTTTATTGTATCATAGAATGTCACAACCAAACACCTGACACAGTTATTACCACCGAATTACTTTTTCGAATAATTTTGCGTTTGCAGTGAAATAAGCGTATCTGCTGACAAAGTCTCCCCCGGAAAAATACAGGGTGTAACGAAAAAACCGCCCTCCGAAAATTGAACATATGTTGTAAGAAAACAAGGGTGCATGTTGTTATTGATGACAAACGCATCTTTATGTTTAATTACCCCCATGTTAGTAAGCGTATTTAAGTAATAATTGGTCTCGTTGTTCTCCCCCTTGTCCTTTGCAACCATGGAGAGACTTGAAGTTCAACGACAAACAATTATCATTATTGGCTTAATGGCGTCCAATCCCTAAAGGAAAGACCAATATGCCTTATCGCATCGAAAACATGTGGTATATTGTCAAGAATAACGTTGAAACATGGGATGCTAAGAAATAAACAATTTATGACCGAAGAATGGGTGCAATTCCAGAAACGACTGTACAAAATTTAATTTCATCGATGAAAAAGAGGTGTGAGCTTGTTTTGCGATAAATTCGTATTGAAAATTTTACGTGCAATAAAGCACATTATAAGCTTTTTAAAAAAATTGGAATTGTTTAAAAATTTTGCATGGTCATTGAGTTATGGTATATTCTATGATAACGGGGTTTTTCGTTACACACTGTATACTAATACTAGTATTATATTTTCTTTCTATAACTGTAAAAGCGCCAGACACTTGTATAATACGTCTTCCCTATTGTCCTCATAACAACTGAAGCAGCATGGTGGAGCCACGACTCTAAACGACAATGAAAAAGTGAAGATCGAGATTGCATATTGATATTATCAATATATTAGCTCTTAATAAGTGATAATAGCTTGTTATGGTAATAGGAGCTAGTTTGGTTGTATCTTAAATTAGTGCCTATAAATTATATGAGCATTGAATTCTTATTCTTGACTGAAAATCAATGATGATTGACGACGGAAATTGATTTCGCGTGTTTGAAGAACCAAGCCTTACATATTTAAATTATTTATGTCAATCTATTGCACAGACCAGCAAGAGTTAAACGTGTAAATTCATGAACATTGGATTCTTTGTTGTTGGATTAATGATGATTGAAAACGAAAATTGGTTTCGCCGCGTATTCGAAATTAAGCCCAATTGTTAGGTAATTTGAATCATACTCTATATTCTGCGTCAATTTTTTGTACAATTATTGACAACAGTTGTCATAGTCGTTAGAATCTCATGAGCCTTAAATTCTTTGTTGGTCGGTTAGTGATAATTGAAAACGAAGATTGATTTCGCGTTTCCGAAGAACCAAGCGAATTGTTATACTCAAATTCAAGTCATAATAATAATAATATTTATTTAAACGAACTGGCATTATCTTTCTGTCCACTGTTAAATTTGTGATGGTATCGCGATTTAAATTAGACTAAATTATTTTATGTTACAAGTGACATCTTAATATTAGTATTCTTAATACATACTTATTAACATTGAATTATGAAAAATATGCAACGCCACAATGATGACGTTCAAATTTGATAGTAATAGTGATCCCCCATTATGTATCCTCGTAATCTCTTTTTTCTCTCCCTCCCTCCCCTTTTTATTGTGGATAATAATAATATATTCAAGATATTAATACTAATACAGTTTTATGTGTGTAGTAAGTAGTTATTATTCTGGCAGGCTTTATGAAACTACCCGTATTGTCCTATACAGATTGGAACCATTCCAGGTAATGGTGCTTGCTTTGATGTCCTTGAAGGTATTATTGAAGAACAAAAATATGCTAGTAAGATTGAAAATTTAGCTAAAACATATTAAGATCATGAAAGTAACATTTTCACCAAATCTCTGGTACTTATCAAACCCTTCCAAGAACTGTGGCCGTTGGATTTGATGTTAAGAGTGGAAAAGGGGAAAATTATTGCATATTAATACTCTATCTTTACCGGTAACTCCAACAATGGTTTAGTTCTTCTTGTTCTACAAATTCTTTATCATGCTGTGTATATTTTTGGGGGTTATCTATATTAATATCTGATTCAAATATAATAATAATCACAGTTGACACCCCAACTTGGAAGGCATACAGAACAATATGTTTTGATTGATTTTTCATTTGTGAGCCTGTGATTGTACTCATATTTACATGTAGATGCTGAATTCATATCACTATTAATAAGTCATTGTCGTATCATTTTGGTAACGTTATTATTATTTTTATTTTTCTTTAAAGCTTTAATAGGATATAATACGATTGATACTTTGCACCATTGCACCTGATCCGATTGTTCTAACGTTTATCATACCTTTGTTTGATTTGGTGGTAAGGGGCTATGGCTATCATGATCATAATAAAATTACTACAACTTTATTTAAATTAGAATTGTTAGTATCCTCGATTTTCTGAAACAATTTACTGCGCGCCAGGAAATTATTAATACTGTCGAGTAACTGCGTCTTTTGTTAATTAAAGTCTGACTAAAACTAATCACTAACCATTTGTGCTTGATTATTATTAAATCTTGTGTGAATGACTTTGACAGTTAGCTTGTTGTCAATTTTAGCTTCTCGTCGTTCTTAGTTAGATACTCATTATTATAGGTAAGTTATGAATCAGCAAAAAATTATGGATTTCTCTCCGTCTAATTACTTTCGCCTTGAAAGTCGTCGTCTGCTTGGAAAAGCATTATAAATTGGTTAGTAAATCATATGAAAAATCTTTAGGTTCGAAAAGTTATCGTGTGTATAATTATGCAAGTAACAATAAGTTTTAGAGTTTTCGAAAAATGGAAAAGATTGATTCGAATTCAACCCTGTTTTTTGGAACTGTATTTTAGGACAATTGTACAGTATTTGCACATATTATGCATTTGTGGCCTGTATTTGATACCTTATGCTAATAACTTCCTCGCAATAAATACTGAAAGCAATATGACAATACGCTACGAACCGACTACAGTTCCATGCAATCCATCAATATGTCAGTAGAAATTGCCAATACGTCGTCAAGACATTCTTTACATATGCCTGTACTGTTAAATTCTGAACATAAAAACCTTGCATCGAAACGTATCGAAAATGAGAGATAAACTATTGCATTATGTTTCTATCGATAATAGGCCATAATAAATATGATAATTAATTCTAGATGCTTTTTATTTAAAACAAATGGACATTTATTTTCGTGATCTTGTTTAGTCTAGGTTGTTTCCCGAACTGCATCAATACGTCCATTATTGCGACAGCTACCGACTTTTGAATTTGCCCTTGCTGTACAAGCATATGACAGCTGAGAGTTGTACAACTTTTAATCGGCACACATAGTTTGTTTCGCGCTTTTAGGTATAACGTCAGCTGCGGGATTTGAAAACCGTGTTCGTCAAAGTCATTAAATTTTATTTTTAAGGTGATTTTCCTTACGGTGCGAATGCATCTACTAGCAGTGATATCAATAGCCTCTTTTGTGCATGCGAATCAGTATATCTTTTTACCATGTTAGTACTCATTTATGTCCTGTTGCGTTGCATACGAACACTAATCTCTAGGTTTTATAACTCTGCGAGCAGAATATTTGTGCCGTCTCGTCCATATCAGATAATATACACGTTTATTATAAAAGCACCGCTAAACCGGTTTTTTCTTTTAATAAACTGGAGCTAGTGCCAACATGTGAACATGAATTGTAGCTTGAATTTCACGACAAATTGTTTCTTACCCAGAAATATTAAGATTAATAAGTACGCTATTATCAACCCCTGCATTCTTGACCATTTTGTTGACATTCTTCAATCGACTTCCATGTTTTAAAATGTTTCTTGCAATTTGTCGGGTTGCACTCGAATAATATCTATTTCGGAATCGTAAAGACATCTTCGTTTCATTTTGTATAGTTGTAATCAAATTATTACTTATTTATATTACAATGATTATCATTATTGTTAAATAACCGGGATCGGTGGTTTTAAATCCATTATCGACTTCGTTTCGCAGAAAAATTATCCATTTTACATGTGGTATAATGAAATTATTTTTGAGTTACAGATTTCGTGAAAAGTCCGAAATGGGGTCAACTCCGAAGCAAATTGCATATGCATAACCTTATATGTTTGTCTATGCGCGATGTAATTAATGGTGAACAGCAAGGGGATATGTCACACAGTCTTAGCATTAGTGAGATTCGTAAAACGGCAATAGTACACGTGATGCACAAGTCATAAAATGTGCTGGAAACGTATTCAAAAAAATCCCGGTTGCTTAGTAATGTGTATCAGCATCAAAGAACGTTGTAAACATCAAAAAGGATATTTGTGATTTGCCAAACAAACTCCCTCAACTATTATTGTGATGATGATGATGATGATGATTCTTGTTTCACAAAGAGATCTTCGTACAGTTGGACAATAAACTAATTTCTATGTCACTCGGAATATTCGGAATGTACGCGTTGATTTGAAGGAATGGGTTTCAAATTTCGTCTCTTTTGAGAGGGCACATACGTTGACAACCAGCAAAAAGTCCCATAACTATTATTATACCAGGTCGCAGCACAGAAATGATTTATACAGTTATACTGACATAGCCATCATTTTTTCAATGGTTGGGCAAAGCGAAACAGAATAATTTCAAGTTGATAATTCTTTACGCGGAAACAGTTCGCGCGACAGGTCGACCTAGTCGATATGTGAGAAGACAGTATCACTGACAATTTTTGCGAGAACTTTATTCCAATTTCTCAAATATTGTGAACATACAAAACCATCATTTACTATTTATTGTTTAATTGAACAAAATTGCATTTTTGCCCAAGAATAAAAGAATCTTTAAACATTAAAAACTTTTTTGGTTTATGATGCTGCGTATATAATAATAACAACCTGAGTTTCATTTTAGTGAATATCATGTGATTGGTGGTGAACTATCTGGTGCCTTCAGCCCACCCCAATGAAAATTTCTGCGGTTATACAAAGATTTGAAAATTTACATATAAACAGGCTTACGTAACTCCATCTCAGATGGTAAATTTATTCACATGACAGTTTTCTATTGGGCCATTTACTTGACGCCATGTCGCAGAAGTGGGACTGTGAACCCTTCTGCGTTTTCGCATATCCCCTATTTTTGCAGTTCAAGTTTCTTGTTCTCCTTCTTTCTCTCTATTTTTTCGTGCTATTCTTTCCTCAGCTATTGCGTGGTATCATAGCGTACTGCTACTTACCTCTACTCCATCTGCAAGAGAAACGATGCTCATATCCCTTTCTACTCTGCCATACTAATACTCCTACGACAAACTACACCATTCTCTCGTTTCTCTGCTCAACATTCGCTCATCTGACCGTTCAAGCATCTTCAAGTGTAAAAATTGTACAAAAGTTTTGTTACATACTAATAACTAGACTACTTTTGATAAAAAAAAAACTTAACTACTTAATAATATATTACTACTCTCATAACCGCCAAAGAGATGATGCCCCGTATAGTTATGGAAGAAACTAAAAACAAAGCCGACTTACACCAACCAAAAGCAAAGAATCGACCGCAAGGACAGGTAATAAAGAATGGATATATAAAGACTTGGTGTACGAACAGACAGCGTAGTGATGGATAATGCGAAGTGATAAGGGAGAGGGTATGAAAGTACAACAGCAAATATAAGACAAAAATTTTTAGAAATTGGTATTGCATTCACTTGTATATCCATCTTTCCCTCCTCGTCTTTCCGAATTAAAGATATAAACTGTCAGCAATGTTTAACCAAGAGATCATCGATTTCTTATGTGTGAACCGTCAACTTAGTCTATCTCCGAGTTCAAGTTTTTTATTGGGTTTTTCATTTCATGGCAACTAACGTGGAGTTCATTAGAATCTTCATCATCAACCATCATCTCATACCATTCTCTTTATTTTATTCTTATTTTTTTTTTTGCAAAATTCCCGTCCTTCCTTTTAATCTAAACAGCAGTTAGTAGCTCTCCTGCGTGACAAGCTGGATTTAACAGACTACGACTTATACTCTAACGCCCCAAAAGATATCACGTCCCGTTCAAACAGTGCACCACCACCGCAAATTCATACTGTTAATCGATTCGATCACGCAGATTATGAGCCTTCTTTATCATCCGATCCTCGTTTGGATCCTGAATACGCTGCCTACTACTACATGAATCGTATGGAGCATCGTCCGCCCACAAGCCCATATGCACCGGGACAGTCTTGGCAAACACCGTTATGGTCCGGTGATTTGGCAATAGGCCCTGGACAGGGGCAGGTGCAAGGGAAGGTCAGTGGAGGACCGAGTGCAGTTAGCCCTGTTGCATCAGCGACGGCAGTAGGCAGCACGAGTGGATCTAATGTTGGGCCTAATATGTCGAAGAAGTTGGAATTGTTCCGGGGGTTGGGTATGTAAAGTAAAACGTTTATAATGTTCAGCTGTGATTGGGTTGGGTGGGATTAGATGGATAACGTGAGCCTCCTTGCGAGTTTAATTGTTTCACGACACGCGGAAAGTATTTGATATGAACGATCATCGTAACGACATCAGCATTAGCCCAACTTTTCTGGGCATGATTTAATATTTCTTTTGTTGCATCGGTTTATGACTTTGCTTGCGTGTGCCAAAGAAATTATTAGTTGTATCGAGAAAAACGTCTTCTGTATTGAAGTCCACATGACGAATTCATATAAATTCAGAGTTCGATGCATTTTATTTTCATTATTAACGTTTCATCATCATCTGTTTCGTAATGCGACATTTCTTATAATTAAGAGGGCGACGACGATTTCCAAGAACATCACCCCTTGGACCAAAGTCTTGAACCCGAGAACCATTCAACTATCAACCAGCCCGACTATACAACGGAGTCTGCTGGACAGTTCGATGCTTTCAATCCTCAAAGCACGAGCAGCGCTGCGTCGCTTTGGAGTCGTGAAGTTGCATCTCCTCCGCCCCCAGGGAATGATCCACATTCACCCAACAAGCGCAAGAATTTAGTAGACATGATCCAAGAAGTAAGCGAAAACATCAAACATTTGGCAACAAAAGAGAAATTGATATTTCATTGCTCAATCAATCGTACGTTTTATTTTCTTCCCAACTTCATTCGCTATCGCAGGACTTTCCTCGTACACCATCTCCGCTCTATGCTCTACAACAAGCCCAAGCTGCTCGCCAACGCCAAGCACAACTACAATCGCACGCAGATGATGCAGACCATCTTGATCTTCAGTCCCTTGATTTAGATGATACACTCTCATATTCTGCACACTATGGCAATTCCCGCGGCTCTGAGGAAGAGCAACTTAAAACTATTGTTAAGAATGCTCTCGACGGTGTCGATGACATGGATCCTCGCATGCCGGGTGCGTTTGCCACACCGCCTCCATTAAGAAGCAAATTCGAAACTCCCCCCCGAGCCTCTTCTACTCCACCTACTCAGAGTCATATTAGGAACCATAGTTTGGGATTTGCTCCAGAGTTCCACGGTGATCTGTCACATGCAGATTTGGCGTATTGGAGAAATTTAGAAACAGTAAGTTGGATTGACTGTGAGCTGTATTTTCATTGCGGTACGTTGCTAATTGTAATTGCATTTGTAGGATGATTATGAGCAGGCACAATTTCTCCGTCAGCAGACTTTAAAACAACACAGACTGAAAATGTCATCGCATCCATCTTATAACGCACTTTTTAATGAGGGAGCTAGCGCGGCCAATTATTCTCCGTATGGTCTAAGTAAGCAAGAAATCACGTCGACTTTTTTATTCAGTCAGGTTTATAATAAACTGCATATTAAAAAAAAATTTTTTCGGTGCTTTTCTCCTTCATCGATTCAAAGATGACAACTATCCGTCGGTCTGGGATGCCCGCGAAGATACTGCTCTGGGCCGCAATATTTTCGGCACAGACTTGCCATACAATCGACAAAACTCTCTTGGCCTTAATCCTGCTCGCAACAACTACGAATATTCCAAATTTCAACAAGCACAGTTTGGCATGGGTCGTGATTCTATACTCTCTTCGTCAGAGTATGCGACAGCCAAAACCGGTCAATACTATGGTACCGGCACTTTGGCTAATGCGGGATTGGGCCCAGTCGGCAATCTGCCCAGTCCGTTAGGGCCTCAATCTAGAGCTAGCAACTATGCAGAAAAGTCTTTGCAATTGCAATCGCAAAGATTGTTTTTACAACAACAGCAGTTGAAACAACAGCAGCAAATGTTATATGCTAAAGAACAGTTGTTGAGACATCACCATTCCGCAGAGTATTTAAACGGGATCTCTGGATTTGGCGGAATATCAAACAATAGAAGAAGCCAGGACTTGAGTTCTAGTTTGTCCGATCCGGGACATTGCATGCGAAGTGCATTGTTGGAAGAGTTTAGAAACAACAAGAATAAAAAGTATGAATTAAAGGTGAGTTGAGTAATGGCTCAATTGACATAGTCAATTCATTGACATTTGTTCTAAACGATATTCATGTTTTCTTTACGTTTTTTAAACAAAGGATATTGCAAGAAATATAGTTGAATTCAGTGGTGACCAACACGGTTCTCGGTTTATTCAACAGAAACTAGAGACGGCCAATAGTGAAGAAAAGCAACTTGTTTTTGACGAGATTCTTCCTAATGCGTTACAATTAATGACCGATGTGTTCGGCAACTATGTTATTCAGAAATTCTTTGAACATGGAAGCCAAGTACAGAAGACCGTCTTGGCCAAGCAAATGGAAGGACATGTTCTGTCTCTTGCGTTGCAAATGTATGGTTGTCGGGTAGTTCAAAAGGTTAGTCGGATCAGCAATCACGCATAGAACTGCCTGAATGTATACTAAATCATTATGATTATATACTTATTGTTTGTTTCACATTGAATTCAGGCTCTCGAACACGTTCTCACGGAACAGCAAGCGGCGCTTGTTAAAGAACTGGATGGTAATGTGTTAAAGTGCGTCAAGGATCAAAACGGCAACCACGTTATACAGAAAGCTATAGAGCGTGTCCCTGCTGAACACATTCAGTTCATTATTAATGCTTTTCATGGACAAGTATTCAATTTGGCGACACATCCTTATGGTTGTCGTGTTATTCAACGGATGTTTGAGCATTGTACTGACGAGCAAACGGTACGTCACCGCCTGATATAGTTTATTTCTATCGAACGATGTACAAGGCCTAACCGCTTATGATTCTCAATAGAAACCTTTGCTGGAGGAACTCCATCGCTTCACTCACAATCTCGTCCAAGATCAATATGGTAATTACGTAATTCAACATGTGCTCGAGAGAGGCAAACCAGCAGACAAATCGCTTGTTGTGAGCAAAGTTCGCGGAAACGTCTTGCAAATGTCTAAGCACAAGTTTGCGAGTAACGTAGTTGAGAAATGCGTAGCTTACGGTAGCAAGAGAGATCGACAGCTATTAATCGAGGAAGTTATTACGACCAAGCCCGATGGGTAGGTTACTGAAGAGCATTATATATAGAAGTGAGACGTTACATTATTGACTTGCTTGTTTATTTTAGCAATTCACCGTTGATATCAATGATGAAAGATCAATACGCAAACTACGTCGTGCAGAAAATGCTCGATGTTGTAGATGGAGAGCAGCGTGATCTTTTAGTCGCTAAGATTAAGCCACACTTACAATCATTGAAGAAATACACTTACGGCAAGCATCTGATATCAAGTAAGTTCACACATACGTTGTTCGCCCAACCATTTAATCAAAACGGTCATTCCTAATCGCTGTCCATCCGTTTATTCGAAACAGAGGTCGAAAAACTGATGATCTTGACCGAAAACCAAAGGACTCAACAAGCGCTCCCTACAATGACATCTCAGTCGCTTACCTCATCGCTTGAAGTGACTAGCTCGCTGCCCCCCACTAATCCTAGTACGCCACTTGGAACAGGACATAATACTCCTTCTGCTTCTTCACCTTCTATTGAACCTGAAAGTGTAGCTGCTGCATCTGCAATGACTACAGCAGTGTCTAATATGCCACCATTGTCTAGTGGGGCTGTTACGGAAAGGATCGAGTAGATTTAAGATTGAATGACGTGGTGGCGAGAGTAGTTGTATGATATAGTTGTTATTTTATTGTTCTTTCTATCATAGTCTTTGTGAGTTCGGGTAACAGTTGTCTCGTTAAAGATTGGCTTCTAGTTCCGTTATGCGGACGTAAACCCAAAGACTTTTTTAGAAGAGATTTGTTTATTATTGTAATGTATATGTATCTTTGGCTTTTGATAATATCCACTTCATTTGTACCTATTTCATACTCGGCACTCTTAGAAGAGTGTCTTTACTATAGTTTTCTTTTGAATTGTAGAATTTATTTTCTATATATTTCTTCTTGGCTTCTGTAGTATTTGGCGTAGATGTCGGGCACATAATATTACATTGGTTGTTTGAAGACGACCGAAACAAGGTTGTTTTCCGCTTAGTATTGCAAATATTGCATGAACTTTTTATATTATTATTTTTTATAACTTTTTTGACCTTCCCCTAATTTACGACAAGTCGTTTCTGTTTCGTCCCTGCTTAATAGTAGTTAATAGACGAACTTATCTGCTACTGTCTGTGCAGGGAGGAAACTTCTTCTTCTTTATACAAACTTTATTTTTTTTTCTTTGAACATATTCTTTTGATTTTACTTTACTGTACATGGTTTCTGTCCATATACAATATATATACGTATATATATATACATATATAGATATACTTTTGTTTATTTGAATGAACTTCCCCATGTTGGTGCTTTGAAATTGGGTACTAATTGGGTAATAGTAACGTCACCAAATCATGGATGAATATACCGGATGGATTGTAACACATCAATAGTAGGCATTACTAATTACTATTACTACTATTTCCTGCATGATCTCCGGAGAGAATCAAGGCTCCATCAAGCAATGCCCGGAGAAAGATTCCCCGAG